AAAAGAGAAATGAATTCTAAACATTTTCCTACAATTCAACCTTGATTCTGCCTTCGTTGGTTGACTTATAATTCACAGGGGTGAAATACGTAATTACTTTTCGTACATTTAATATCTATCAATATTAATTGCAAATATTTTCTTATACCAGATTCTCAATGATGCTTTAGTTTATATTCTAAAATATTTTTTAACTTTTTTCTTTTGACATTTTTTTCCCCCCTTTTCTTATTTACATTGTTTTTTTTTTTTTTTAACCCACCCATCCACCCTCAAAAGCATTCTTGTGATGTTCGTTTCAGTCACAGCTATTGGTTTGGGCTGCAATGGCATTAATATTTCTTCAGGAATAAACATATCTTGTACTTCAAAAGACATTTAAAATAAGAACAGACATGAAACGAAGATCCTTCAAGTGAGGCCAAAGATATTTGAAGACTATAAAGACCTTAACACAGAAGAAATGCTGCGTAAAGAAAACCCAAAATGAAGTCCCTGTTGAGGGAAGCAAGAAGAAAAGATAATGCTGGATGCAAGCAAAAACAAAACTAGATTACAAAAATTACAAAAAATTATTTCATTTTATTTCTATGGCAACTCTCTGATCAGAATTCTATAACTTTTGAGGTGAAATAGGTAAGGGTGCTGTCAAGGAAAAACAGGTTCAGAAGGATATGAGATGTGAATTCAAATCTTGTTGGAGAAATATTGAAGGAGAAGTCAAAAATTAATAATAATGACAATGTTTCATAGGAGAAATTCAGACAACTTCAGACTACTATGTCTTATTACTATGAGGTGTAAACAAGCAAGAGAAATAAGATGACAGAAAGACAAGTCACAAATTAATAATAATGACAATGCTTCAGTTAATAAATTCAGACAGCACCAGACTATTAGTCTTAATACCACTAGGTGTAACAGGGAAGAGAAGTACAATGAAAGAAAGATGAATCAAAAATTTATTGTAGCGATAATTTTTCATCTAAAAAATGATTTTAGAGAGAAAAAAATACCCCCCCCACCACCAAAACTGATAAAAGACAAATAAGCTTTTCAAGTTGTTGTCTGCGTTCCTACTTGTGCCTCCTTACACTATTCATTCAGTCAATTAGTTAAAATTGTAGTGAAAATCATTAAGTCAAACCAGAAAAAATTCCTGTCCCCCCCCCTCCATCATTTCACCTCAAGCAAGGCAATAAAACCACTAAGATTCATGGGGTTACTGAGGATGAAAGACAATAGAGGGAAGATGTTTTGTTTGTCTACTGAAAATGTAGAGTCCATTTGTACACATTTCAAAACATATTTCCATAACCCGTTTCTGAGTGGGATTCCTCCATTGCTTTTAGAATCCCATGTCTATAAGAGGAGGTATCACAGAAGCAATCATTTTGTAACAAAATATTTTATTTCATTGACATCTAACATTATTCGATAAAAATTTCTTTTTAAGAAGTGGAAAATTTTTAGAAAAAGATAAGAAAAAGGGATTTCTTTTGTTTCTTTCTGTGTGCAACTATCAATAGCGACAATATAAGTGTTTGTTTTCCTACTAATTATTCATAATTAATATAGATTCAAGAAAGGGAAGGTCTTGAATAAGATATTCTAATTTATAATGTAACAAACCCTCTATTGGAATCGGTGTTTGTGTCCTGATGCAGTTTTCAAATCAAATTATACAGGTTTGTGATTCTGCCCAAGATATCATTAGTTGAATCAATTTCTGAAAGAAACGTTTACAAGGTTATTTACAAGAGATGGGCCAGTTTGTAGGCAATAGGGGAGACTGTGGTGGCAGGGGAGACTGCTGAGCTGTAGGAGTCAATTCTCCAATAGAGAATAGACCAAAGGCCATTTAGCCCCAGTGGGATTTTAACAAGAACAATTGCAGAGTCTTAAAGCCAATCTAATACTTCATGGACCCAGGCTGTAAAAAAAAAAAAAAAGAAAAAGAAAAGAAGTTATATTCTTATTCATTGGCAGCACTACTGAATTTCAATTCAAATTGCTTTTATTATTACTTTTCAAAATATCAATTTGCACATAAATTCAAAATTATTATCACCGCCGCTGCCACCGCTACCTTCATTATGTCTTTTCCTCTTTATTTCTTAGAATAGATTTATTTTCTTACTGTTTGTTTTTATTTTTATTTTTTTGGGTGTTTATTATTTTTTTTTTTTCAGTGAAATTTCTACAAATATTCCTTTGTTTTTCTTCATTTTCCAAATAAATACAAACAGATAGACCAGTAAGAAATTGAAATCTTTTTTTAGAGAAGCAGAGAGGAGGGAGAAAAAGGGAAAACAAGAGAGAGAAAGAAGATAGAAGTGTAAAAAAGAGTGGGAAGAGGGGTGAGAAAAGGAGAAAGAGGGGAGAGACTGGAGAACAGAAAGAGCGAGATAGAAGAGTAGGAAGAGTAGGAGAAAGGAGATGAGAAGGGGAGAAAGATGAGAAGTAGGAATAGTGAGGGAGAGAAGGGGAAAAGAGGAGAATAAGAGAGAGGGGAATAGAAGGGTAAGAAGAGTGGGAGTGAAGAGGTGAAAAGGGGAGGAAAGAGGAGAAGGGGACAAAAGTGTAGGAAGAATGGGAGAGAGAAGGTGAGAAAGAGGAGAAGGGGATATAAGGTAGGAATAGTGGGAGAGAGGAGGTGAGAAGGGGAGAAAAGAGGAAGGAAGACGGGCATAGAAGGGTAAGAGAGAAAAGGAAGAAAAAGAAAAAAGAAAAAGGAGAGAAGAAAAATAGAGATAGAAGGGTAGGGAGAACTGGAAAGAGGAGGAGGAGGAGAGAGAGAGAGAGAGAGAGAGAGAGAATATAAAAGAAAGATTGTTTATATCTTAATTTGGTAGTAAAATAAACAAAAATGAATTTGAATTGAAAAGATGAATTGGAGAGGGGGTGAATTGTAGTAGTAAGAGGGAGAATAAGTGAAAGAAAATTTTATCAGAAATATTTATACATTTATTTTCAATATCACCCCATACAGCATACACATAAATACATACATGCATATATACACTACTTCACTCTGCTAATGATAAATTCAAAGAATTCAGTTTCATATGCAAAAGACATTCTTAAAGCCTTAAGAGGATTGTCAGGGAGCAAATGATGACATCATCATCGTCATCTTATATCATTATTTTATTGTTATGATCACCTATAGATTTACAAGTCCGACATTTTAATACTGACACTTATCAACTGACGTCTACCTGAGATTTATTCAGTTAAGCTTATTTTTACATAAATTAGCATAGAATTCATTAAAGGTAGATAGATTATAGAACAAATGCCTGGAAGTGATAGAATTGTGTAATTTCTAACCATTTTTTCCTTAACATAGGATTGGAGTTATGCGTTAAACAATGACATTGAGGTTTTTGCTTCTTTTTTCAAAAGATCTTTTTTTTTTCTTTTTCTTTTTTTATTCATTTCACCCCAAGCAAGGTTATAATACCACTAAGACGCAAGGGATTCCTGAGAGTGAAAGAAAATGTGAAAACATTAGTGAGGAGAAAAGACAATAAAAGAACTAGATTCAGAATGTTGCATTATTGATGTTGCATATAAACTTTTGAAGATTGTAGGTGACAGGAAAGCAATAAGCCAAATGAGAATTCCACAAGGAAGAAGGGTGAGAAAAAGAACCATTTATGGTTACATGTAGCTATTCCAACTGTGAAATAATGAGACCTAGTTGCCAATCTAGTGTTACACTTGAATTCATGTGGTAGAACTACCAAGGAGTAAAGCTCATTAATACAATTGCCATGAAAATATTTGTAGAAAAGGCAGAGGGAAGCCATATCATATTAGTCAGAAAGTGACTTAAATCAAGATACTAGGTCAGGAGCGATAAAAATTACAGACTCTTCTTTGCATTTTGTCAAGAATCTCAAGATATAGTGATCTTCCAAGCATAGCTTAGATGTGGCACAAGGCTGAAAATAGTGGGCATTAAATTCACTACTCAGCAGTAATTGTTCTAGTAAGACAAGCTTGCTAACCATTACATTGCTGCGATGTGCCCAAGAATCTCAAGATATATAGCAGGAGCAGCAGACCAGATATTGCAGCAATATTCAGTAAATAGATAGTCTTTACAAATGTGCAAGATGGATTCTGGCAAGAAAAAATGCCTGGCACAACACTCAACCAACTTTCCTAGCAGTAGTTCTAGCAATTGATTCAGTATAATCACTCCACTTCATATCAGTGGAAAATGTGAGACTAAAAATGTACAATGAGTTGTTCTCCTAGTGGTTAGCATCAACCATACTGATTTAAGGCAAAAAATGATTCTCTCTGAAAAGGTTAAAAAAGAAAATTTATTTAATAAATATTATTTTCTGATCTTAGAAATAGCAATATTTTTTACACTATTTATTATATTGTTTATTGGAATGGCTGGTAAAACATTGACTAATTACCAGTTGATTCAAACTTTATAAAATGGTAAATAATATGGTTTACATATTTTAATAATTTGGTAAAAGCTTATAAACTTATTAATAAAAAATTCTTTTGATAGTTATTTCTTTATAAATTGATGAATGATAAATATTGCATTGCATTAATTTTAATACAATTATTTACATTATTCGGACTATTGTCCTCATCTTTGTTGCCATATTTATTACAACGTTTCAGCCGTTGTGCACTCCGATCTTCTTCAGGTAGTTGGAATGCCGAACTGAACCCTTTATTTCGCTCATTGGGGTAGACAGTTATTAGTTATCTCCTGTTAATTTCCCTCTGAAAGTTCTGCACTGCCTTAACCAGGTATTGAAATCACACTCTTTTGGGTCACTGGATCTAACTAATGCCTTTATCCACTGTGCCTTGTGTCCTTGAGGACACATGGCACAATGAGTGAAATAAAGGGTTCAGTTTGACATTCCAACCAACTGAAGAAGGCCATTGTAATAAATATGGCGACAAAGATGAGGACAATAGTCCAAATTATGTAAATAATGTACATAATACCTCATCTCAGAAATATAGACAGATATTGTATTAGTATTTGCTCTTATCATATGTTTAGCTTTTATTACAATTCTAATCATCGCTTTTTAAAAAAATAAACATTGCCGAGGAGTGAAGGTAGTTAAAATAATAGTAGTGTCAAGGGAAAAACTGTCCTTTAGACACTGTTTTTTTGTGGTCATGAAAGTCCATGTTTGCTGTTTTTTGGTATGAAAATTGAAAACTGGATAAATTAACCAGAAAGAAATAGAAACATCTAAAGAACAAAAGCACAATGTTTAAAGGCGGGATATTTGAATATAAAATATTCACACACACAATGATAAAAACATATTGAGATACACACACACACACACACACACACTAGACTGACAAACATAGACAAATATAGACAGAAAATGCAAATATAGATGCACACATACATAGACACAGACACAGAAAAACAGAGTGTCAAACACATATCCAGAGACACGCAATAAGGAGACATAGTCAGTTGCAAATAACAATTGAGTGGATCATACATTCAGAGCGAGTGATTTGTTTTTTTTGTTTTTTTTACAGATTATCAACCTTTTGCAAGTTATTTAAAGCCCACAAATATTTTTAGATTGTAAGAAGTTTTTTTTTTTTTTGAAGATAATAATTTTTACTGAAACAAATTCTACTAATTAACCCATAGCTGGGGAGGGGAAAGAGGTGGATTAATACCTTTTGCAAAGGCATTTGCATGTAAGTGAATATAACAAAACCAACTGGAATTGGAACTCAGCTTTTTGATTTTCAATTTCAAGCTTTATCCATGACACTACCTGCACATCCAAGCTTACAACACCTGGTATTCCCAAGTGGATATATACATTCCGAGAGAGCAATTGTCAGATGTACATACCAGTAAAAAGAGACATAGTCACATATGCATACTGTTAGACATATACAGTCAGATGCACATGTCAATAGAGAGTTAGATGCACATATTGATAGAGAAAGACTGTCTGCTGTGCATACCAATAGAGGGGCACTGTGAGATATGCATGCTGATAGGCCCTGTGACACACACATCAATAGAGAGGCACTATGAGATACACATCTGACAGAGGCACTGTGAGATATTCACACCAAGAGAGAGATGCTTTGACACACACACACACACACACACACACACACACACACACACAATAGCAATTAGTTCAAGGAAAAGCATTGTTAATTGAAATGATTATTAAGTGATCAATTGAAATACATTTGAATATCATAATTGGTATCGAGAAATCTCACATTGAACTGTCAAGAATATTAAAAGTTACTTGTTTTTAAGGAACATATATGTGAAATTTAAGAACCGATTTCCCTGAAAAATGAAAATTTTATTTCAAATTAATAATTGTATGTAAAAAACTAATAAAATTTTTGGGTATAATTTCAGGTTTGGTAATATTTCTTGTTTTACTTGTGAAAGAAGAATTAGTAATCATTTTTTTTTTTATATTTTTATTTTAATTGATTTTAGGACCATGTAGATAATAAGATATAAATAAATGAAAATAAAATGTATTAGTATTATAGGCAATGAGGTATTAAAAAATATTTGGGGGCCTGATCAAGAAGGACCCCCCCCCCACCACCACCACAAAAAAAGAAAAAAGAAAAAAGTTTGATCATTTGGTTAAATTCTGGAAAGATATTCAAGTCAATTTTAGCAGTGCTTCCAAACTATGCACTGTGACATATTGTGTCGCAACATGTTTTCAAATTAAGCACTGTGACACACAAGTGTTCCATCTGAAGTAACTATGTGCTCTGCCAAATGTTTTATTAAAAAAAAGAAAAAGAAAAAAAAAACCCAACATATTTTTGGGGGATTTTACGTATATTCACTATTTTAGAGTCAGGTGCTTCTATAGTCAGGTGATGACAGATAAGTTAATTGGGGTTGACAGCTATAAATTGTAAATGATGAAAAGGAATAATTATTCTTGATTTAGCAAAATAAAGAAGTAATTACTGATAATGTTCAGCAATTTAAATTATTGCTTAGAATTTAGAATTTATAAATTAATTAAAAAATTAGTTTTGAGTTAGTACATACAGCGTGTGCCAATCAATCAGACCCTCTCATCAAATTGTTTTGAGTTTTAGAGGGAGGGAACTAAGCAGGGGATGTTGCAGGTAAGAATTTACTCAAAAATTAGTTTACATCATTTTAAGGGTGGAGGAAGGTAAATGATTTTCAGTGGGAGGGCCAAGCTCCAAAATGATTTTCCTTAATATTTAACAAGTAGCAAGTCAAAATTTCCTGATTAGTCAAGTAGATTTCTGAATGCCTTTGTCAAGTAACTATTTTTAAAAAGGCAAATTGCAAAAATAATTTTAGAATGAAAATAATGTTAACTATTTATTTATTTATTCTCTAAAATTACCATAAAGAACACTGAAGCCAACGCATAACAAAATTAAATCTAAATGATATATCTATGATATTTCAATTGGGCGTTACAACAGCAAATGAAATGTTTTTCTTTTAATATTTAACAAGTAACAAGTTCACATTTCATGATTAGTCGATTTTTGAATACTTCTGTCCAGTAACTCCAAGGAGTTCCTGGTTTTAGTCATAATAATATTTGTATGAATTACAAGCAGTGATCATAAAGTAAAGACTGTCTGTAATAATTATAGGAGAAACATGCAAAGATCACAGTAACCTTCTTGTTACAAGCCAGTAGAGCTGTTAGAGCTTGGTCATAGGAGAGATCAGCTACTCATGTAGATTTATGAATTTATTTGACTAATTTTAGCCATTAACCTTCCATTAATATCATGGGCTGTTTTTGTTTTTATCAATATTTAGCAAGTGGCAAGTCAAATTTTCATGATGAGTCAAGTAGCTTTCTGAATACCTTTGTCAAATAACTACAAGGAGTTTCTGGCTTTAGTCATAATATTTGTGTGAATTATAAGAAGTTTTATTTGTTTACTGAAAATAAAATAAAACCCATTTTTGCATATGTTAATTTTTTAAACTTACAAATTAATTTTTCTTTTTTTTTTAAATTGGCTTTTAATTTGATTTTTTTCAAAATAAAACTACTTTTTAAAATTTTTATTTATCCTATAAGGACCAGGAATAACATTCAAGACGATATAAAAACAGGAAATTATGATCATAATGTTTTGGCCAGCCTTCTCCAGGTGTCTTTTAATATGGGAATTTCAGACTGAACATTTTATTTAATTAATATAGGTAGCTTATTCTCATTCTGTTATACATGTCTAAGAATATCTTGTTTGTTTTTAGTACTGCTAAATTACTGCTAATACTGTTTACACTGAGTTTGAGTCTGTACTACCTAGCCCAGGGATTGAACTCACAATTACTTCTTTATTACTGCTCAATTATTGCTAATACTGTTTACACTGAGTTTTAACTACCCGGTCCAGGGATTGAACTCACAATTATTATGTCATCAAATTCACAAACCACTTCACAAACCACAACAGATTAGATTAAAGTGTCATTTTTTTTTCTTCTGTTTGGTAGATTAATAATGGTTAGTTCAATTCCTGTGTTGTATAGACAAATAATCAGTTGAAACAGAGCAAAACTGTTCAAAAATATCAAAACTGTCAGCTGTATACAGCCACTTCCTAAGATCATCCTGTTTTGAACATTGTGAACTGGCACTAAAGAATCATAAACAAAGAAATGAGTAACCACATCACTTGAGGCAGCGACAACTAAAATGGTTAGTACATGTAAATAGAAGAGAGAATAATGACAAAATCAAGAAGCTAACATTCCATACTATTTTAAATAGAAGGTTTGGAGAGAAAACTCCATCAATACTGGAAAGAGCAATAAAAGCTACGGGATTTGAGAAACCTGTTTTTCTTAAAAAAAAAAAGAAAAGAAAAAAGTGTTTTGAGAGAAAGATTTTTATAAATTTCAACTGAAAATAGTACTGGCTGCTATATTACCATTACTATTACCAGGGCTAGATTTAAATGAAGAGAGGTCCTAGGCTCTTCCACTTGTGAGGCCCTAACCTATTCCATTTGTGAGACCCCCTCCAAATCTCCCATTCTCATGAGCTTAGGAAAAGTGAAGAACATTGAATTAATTTGTGTAAAACTGAGGATGATGATGATGACGAGTGTTTAAAATTACTGAAGGGTTATTTAGAATCTATAATGCATTATGACAGCATGTGTAAGAAAAGCCTATGAGAGTGTCAAAAATATTATACACCTTGGCTGGAGGTCCCCTAGATTTTGACGCCCTAGGCTTCAGCCTGCCAAAACTATAGTTAAATTCGGCACTGACCATTATCAATAATTGTACAGTATCAAAAAGAACAAGACAAAATGTCCCTAGATATGGACAGTGGAATGAGAAAAACCTACCCTGCTAGATTAGATAAAGGGTTCAGTTTGAAATTCACTGAAGATTATTCACATTGGCAGACACCTGTAGATGGTCGTAGGTCACAATGGTTAAAACATGATAATAATGACAAATAAGAGGATATTAGTCCAAATGGAAATAATATACTAAATGGAAAGGGATTCATCAGAATAATTTATCTTTTTAGTTATAATAATAACTGATATAATATAATAATAACTAATATATTATAACAACTAATATAAAATAATACAATATAATAACAACTCATATAAAATAATAACAAATATTATATAATATAATAATTAATATAATAGCTAATATAAAATAATATAAGAACAAATATTATATAATAATATAATATAATAATAATAATAATAATAATAATAATAATAATAATAAATTAATATATATAATGCCAGACACTTGATTGCTGACTGGAGAGAATTTATTTTTAAAGGTTAACTTGAAAAAATCATGGCCATGATAATGGAATTGTTTTTTTGGTTTTTTTTTTTTTTTAATCTAAGTAATGTTAGGTTACCTTGCAAAGATAGGTGGGTGGGTAAAAAGAAAGTGAAAAGTAGGAGTAAAAAGAAGCATTATGATCAGTGGACTAGAATTTTACAGAAATAATGTCAGTCTTTTTATAAGTTTGTATTTTTTTTTTATAGTTCAATGAGCAAGAATGATAAAAAAAAAAAAATTTAAAAAGATAAAAGAATAAGGTATTTGCAAATATTTGTTTTCAAAATCAAATTTGGAATAATTCTTTTTGTGCAGAACCCAAAAATAACACACAATGTCAGAATAAACTTTTATCTTAACCTCCGCAAATTAACTATGCTACACATTTAACATTTTCACAAACTCGTTTAAGGAATTTTCATTGTTTACCTGTGTGTGTGTGTGTTTAAAGTCATAACTCTATTATAAATACTGAGTGTTGCTGACTGAAAATTTTAACCTCAAAGTAGCTACTGCTGAGGTCCAGCAACAATAATAACAACAACAATAGTAACAACAACAATAATAACAACAAAATTCTTCCTATCCATCTTCTTACATTCTATTATCAGAAAATATTAGATCTTAAAGGTTCAGATTTGTTGGTTTATTGATTTTACTTAAATTGTGCTGTTTCCGATTCTAGAAACAGGAATAATCCGATATCTTTGGCACAAATTTCCAAGATAAAATTCCAATGTTATTCTAAGGTTTTCCAAGCCCAAAAGAATTCAAAAAAGGTCAAAACAAAATTATTCAATTTTGATGGCATTTGCTGTTTTCAAACAAATTGCAACATTGCATTTGTGTTTACAAAGGCAGAAAGATGAACAAACCTCAAATACCACGGCTTCATTCCCTATCAAATGTTCATGCTCCAGAATCCATTGCTTCCTATCTAATTCATCTGATCCTTCCTTTTTCATAAATATTTAAACTGCTACTGCTATGATGACTGATTTTACAAGTACGAGATTATCAATGACAATAAGAACAGAAAAAATTCTTTATTCTTGATTTTAAATAAAATATCTATCCAAGATTAAACATTAACTTGTGCCATCAAAAATGATGGCAATTCTTAGAAAGTTTTAATAGTGAGATGCAATGAAACAAAAGTCTTGAAACAATGTATTGAGATTCATAAAAGCGGAAAATTCACAACTAAAATAAAGTTTAATGAACCATTTAATTAATTTGTTCCTTTTATATATACATACACATATATATATATATATATATATTTTTTTTTAGACATTCAATGGTATCTATGATTCATTGATTACTCCTGGCATAATATAAATTGCTTTTTGCACAATATTTTTTCATATTAAAAATTTTATGTGTTTAATATAACAGTGAAATGGAAATATCTCTTGGAAGAAAAAGATTAGCAACAGAATAACAAAACAGTGAAGACAAAGACCAAGAGGAAGCAAAACGATCACTTAAAAAGGTATCTGAATACCTCACATGAATGTCTAAAACAAATAAGACTGCAATCTAAGAAATGTAGGAGTAAAGGAACTTAAAAAAATGTGTGTGTGTGTGTATATATATATATATATATATATATATATATAAAGTTTTTTTTTTTTGACTTTTTTTTATATATCCCACATGGGTAAAAATATATAGGAAAAAGAAGTTGAAAATGCAACTGGAGTATTTAATAATTATTTAGAGTAACTTTACTGGTTTCATTTTTAAAAGTAAATTGTGATGTAGAAATGTGTGTATATGACATATGTCTCTTGCTCAATATCAGAGATAGTGTATGTAAATATAAAAGTGAACATTGAAGTTCACACCCAGCAGTGACAGTCTGTTTCCTGCTTAAATGCAATCATCAGGCCTTGTGACTGACAACTCTATTTAGACATGAAACAGAATTTTGGATATTGACTTCAATATCCACTTATGTTCACTCAATACAAGGTCCAAGGGACATTCAAAGTAAGGGGTTAAGATTGGGCAAGACTGTTGTATGGACATAAGAGGAGGAGGGTACATGGATTTAAGAGGAGGAAGTAAGTGTAGATCATAAGGATATGTAGAATAGATAATGTTTGCACTAGACATTAAGGGCAGAGGGATTGGGGAAGCATCATCTCAGGAGTTAGTTCTGCAAAGTAGTGATTTTCAGGAAGAATCTGTTTGAATGGAACTTCCTCCTTACCAATGGAATATGAAGGGAATGAGAATGAATCGACTCTGTGTATGAGACATAGAAGGTTCTAGATATGAAGGTCTGATCTGCGTGAAAATAAAGAATGTAGCCTGCCTGAACATAAACCATGGAAATAATGATAGGTTTGCAATGTTACCCTATGGAAAGTGGCTATAGGGTTGAAAATAAATCCTTCATGAGGCTGCATAAATGTTTTTGAACTTTGTCAAGGCCAGAAAGTGAGGATTCGGTAACTCCAGCCTATATATGGTAGCACTACTCCATTTTTGATTTGATCTGACTCTTGTAAAGATAATCAAATCTGATATTTGGACATTTGGTCAGATTTTGACAAATACGTTGAGACTGGTTCTTTTCAGCACCCACTCATAAAACTGAGAAGATTTTGCTTGCTATACAAAGCTAAATCCTTTTGTGTCTGCTGGTCCTTATATTTGGTGTTCAAGCTTATTGAATACATAGGAATGTTTTAACAAAGCAATTCTCATAGTAAGATCATTAAAAATACATTGCTATATTAAAGTCTTTTCCAATGAATTACTTGTAGTAAAGTAATTTCCAATGTATTCCTATAGCAGAATCGTTTACAATGTAGTCCTTCATTAAAATCATTTCCAGTGCATTCCTGTAATAAAAAAAAAAGCTCCTTGTGGGAAAACGAGGTAAAGAGAACTTTTCTGTTATATGAATTTATCTTTAACAGTAACAATTATCATTTGTAACAGTTTGGTGTAAAACTATAATGAATAAGAAAAAAATGGGTCTTGAACATTAGTAGACAAAAATTTTTTTAAAAAATCTGTAAATAAAATTAAATAAACAAAGTAATAGGCACAGATGCTGAACAATTATTGATGACCTTGTTAGTCACAACAATGATATCAATAAATGAAAGGGACTTTAGCCAAATGCTAAACACACACACACACACACACACACACAACACATAAGAACTTGAGGATGTCAAGCAAAGCAGATATTAAGACTAAACGCATTGCCAAATAGTTAAAATGTTAGCATTCCAACCTGGGTTCAAATCTCACAATGATTGATTTGTCAGATAGGTGACTTCTTGATATCATCTTGGGGAAATGATCCCAGCATACATCACTGTTGAGAAGTGCTAGAACAGAAAATGTTGACCTAAACCTTATGAGTGAAATTAAGAAGATAAAACTGCTCAATAGATGTTGATGGTTGTGTTAGCACAAATTCTTAGATCATTGTGACCAAGGATTTCAGTATACTAGTCTTGTTCAACTACTAGTCATGCCAGATTAAGTGCTCTCTCTCTCTCAGAAACTGTAACTAAGGTATGCCCAGCATAGTTGCAGTATAAACTATAGATTGGACCTGTGGATACTGAACAAATACACATGTGCCAGAGCAGGTGTCTGCAATAGCAGAAGGTAAAACTTGGAAGTGATTAGCCAGTCATTATTATGAGAAAAGATAACAGGAAACTGCATGTAAAATTTGTTTTCTGAATTTTTTTTATAAGAAAAATTGCTATTTGACAAAAATAAAGTCTACAGATTGTAATTACTTTGTTGTTGTACTTTATAGGAGGGGTTGGCAACCAACAACACAAGTGTCACATGTAGCATGCCAAGCAATTTCCAATGGCATGCAGCTGCAAATGACATCACAAAGTCTGAACAAATTACTATAATGCAAAGAAGTTTCAATTTTAATATATACTAAAGTATATATACTATATATTACTATATAAAATATATTGTAGAACAGGTATATTGACCTTGACTTGTATCGAAACACGTATGCTGTTGGCACACTGGATGATTTTAAAATTCTAAGTTGGTGCACACAGTTAGCAAAAGGTTGCTGACCCCTGCTTTAGAGTCTGTAAAAATGGACAGGTTCCATAATGCTATTCTAGGAATGTTTTTTATTTATTTTTTTTCAAAATCCAGACCAATAAGAAAAGCCAACTTGAAGTTCTAACAACTAAGTCCATTATTTTGTGAGCATTTGTTTATCTATTTTGCTTATATTAAAAATATTTTTTATTTACAAATTTTTATAAAATTATATATATATATATATATATATATATATATATATATATATATATATATATATATATATATATATATATAAATGAACAAATTACAAATCACTCCCGATAAAATAATGATTAGAACTAATAAACATAAATAAGCAAATAGAAGTAAAATAACTGACCTAAGCAAATCCCCCCCACCCTAATTTTTTTACCACGTTAATAAAACATAGAAAAACCAAAAAGAATAAATATATAAAATAAAAAATGAAAATAAAGAACAGGTAAAATAAATTAACCCAAATAAATAAATAAACAAACAAGCCACTCCCGCCAAAATGGATTACCCAGAATGGACCACTGACCCATCTATATAATAGTTGAGGGAAAAATCCAACACTCATGGCCTGACGATTGCGGCTAGCATGAAACAGCCTGCCGCCTCTGAGTGTTGACTTCAATGTTCACTTGTGTGTGTGTGTGTATATATATATATATATATATATATAGAGAGAGAGAGAGAGGCTGCTCTGAAAGTTTTGCCACCTCGACATAATATAAATTTCTATTTCAGATGACTGACATGAAAATGAGGGTGTTCATACAGACCTTCTCGATGTGTGACAGTATCAGTGAAATGGAATAAACTGAATTCGCTACATATTAAAGAATTACTTCTAGTGTTCTCATTACTACTTTTTAGTAAGGGGTGACAATACTTTTGGACCACTATATATATATATATATATATTATGAAATGGACAAAGCCCCACAATTATTTTAAGACATTTTTATGTTTATACATCCTTTTTTATTTATAGATACAAATATTTAAGTAAATGCTCTGTTTATAATAAACAGTATTAAACAACATTTATCGGC